GATATTCGTGATCACCGCGAAATTCTCTATCGAATGGTGTATGAAGTGTCGAAAAATAAATTTCACTGCAAGGCTGCCCTGGGTGCATCTTACTTAAATGTTTTTTTTGAAATAAACATATTTAAACTCATTGAGATTTGTTACCGGTACATTTTTCATCTAATGTATAACGAACCCATATATTTTAAGTTTTATCATCAAAAAATTTCTATTTTGTCATCAATGTCAAATTGATTTGATGTCAGTTTATAGATTAGACAATGGTGGTGTATTTTCAGCTAGTCATTTTGATATATTTTCTCTTACCATTTCATGCGGATGAATTAATCGATCAAAATTCATTAACGTGCGATAGTAAAAATGTTGACAGTTGTACACTATCAAATATCAAAGAATCATCATCATCATCATCATATCTGTTAGACAAAATTGATAAAACTTATTATTTTCTTTATGATGTTAATCATGGCGAAGGTTTTAATTTAAGACGTGATGTTTATGTACGTATCGCTAATCTTGTCTACAATCTTCGTGAGAAAACAAATCAGGAATGGATTCTTGTATTGCCTCCAATAGGTCCATTATATCATTGGTTCAATTATGAGTTAAAACGTACTCAAATACCATGGTCTCAATTTTTTGATATTGAAAGTTTAAATCGTTTTGTGCCTGTAATTGAATTTAATGATTTTCTTAAAAAATTCAATCTTCAACAAAATCAACCAGTTGTAATTGACTATGTCTATTATTTACAACATTTTAAAGAAGGATGGGGTGAACATTTTGAAGAAAAAGTAGAATTACGAACATGCAATGAAGAAAATACATATTATGACTACGATAATCATGAACATTTATTTAATGGTTGGTTTTTTGGTTATGATAATATACGTTCAAAACAATTTCATTGTTTATCCGCTCAAGGTTTTGTCAATATACTAATTGATTTTATTATCAAAAATTTGACATGGCCATCACAAACAATGAAACCAAAAAGTGTTTTATTTGATCGAGCAGAAACATTATTACATAATGATTATGGTGGTATAAACTATTGGCGTGCAAGAAGAAGTATGCGTTATGCTAAATATCTAATTAAAATAGGTAATCGATACGTTTTTTCTACCAGTTACCAAACTTTTACTAGAACGAAGATTTCTTGTTATCCAATCTCCTACCACGATTTTGTCTATGATTTTTTGGACTAATGTCACTGACATATTTCAGTAAATCATTATCAAACAGATCTAATGTAAAAGTAGTTTTACATATAGAATTCTATTTCCTCCGGTTTAGGTAATCGGATTCGTTCTCAACAGTTGAATTCAACAGATGAAAATGATCGTACAAAACTAATCTATGATTGGACCAAAATGAAACGTGAGCACGGTGCTGCTATTGGTGGTCCTTATATTAGTGTTCATTTACGTCGTCGAGATTATGTTCAGGCACGTTCGAAACAAATTCCATCATTAGCATCTGCCGCTAAACAATTATGTGTTCTATTAGACAAATATCAGTTAGATCAAATCTATTTATCTACGGATGCTGATGAAAATGAAATTCAAGAATTTAAAACATACGTATCAAATATTAATTCAACCTATCGTGTTATCCACTATAAACCGGATAAAACTGAATTAGAAACAATTTTGGACGGTGGTAAAGCTATTATTGATCAGTGGATATGTGCACATGGAAAATATTTTATTGGTAGTTATGAATCAACGTTTACATTTCGAATCCAAGAAGATCGAGAGATATTTGGTTTTTCAAAAGAGACAACGTTCAATCGTCTATGCGGTGGTGACTCAGATAATTGTGAAAAATCATCGGTATGGACAATTGTCTATTGATATCCACTTCTCTCTATCTATTTCTAATCTCACAATTATTTTGTTCTCTTTTTATATCTAATCTTCTGAAAGACAGCATAATACTAAAGCTCATGACATTACTTAGAATATAGGTTGTACTTCCTTGTTTAGTGACCATAATATCGAGTTATTCGAAGAGAATAAAACTTCCTCTGAGAGAAAGAATTACTGTCTAGAAATCAAGAAGAAAATGTTATGGGTAAACCTTGAACATTTAGTATTGAAAATCGATCAATTTGACTAGTCTGTTGTTTTTCTCATTTTATTCGATAATTTATAGTATCTCTTCCGCTTTTATATCTATGCATTTTGTGCGATTATCTGATTTTTATTGAGAATTATGTTCTTATTTTTTACAACGTTCTGCCGGTAATTCTATACATAATCTACTAGAGCTTACGAAAGACTTTCTGAATCATTAAAAATTCACGTGAATTGAAGAACTGCAGCTAATAATGACGAATATCGTATGAGGAAAAAATATACACATAGTAGGCTCTTACGTCTACAGTAGACATCATTCATTTTCCAGCGTAACTGCCATTACAATTTTTAAACAAAAAGATCATTCATCAAAAAACAGTCTATTTTGTGAAATATGAATTTCTACATAAAACAAATGGATATTCAACAGCAATCAGTACGTTCGAGTGATCTTTTCAAGTGTTAATATTGCTTGACATTTAGTTTTGTTATTGAAAGGCGTAACAACATTATTCTCAGAAATCATTTTTTCCAATTTGTTAATTTTGACTATCATTATTTTGAATTAGAGAGCGGATCTCAGTGGATTTTCGTCAACTACTCAACTCAGACTGTCAAAAGAAAATGAACCAGTGGGGTTTCTGCTACGTCCACGGCAAAATAATGCCATGCATTTTTATTGCTGAAGTTCTTCATTTTTCTCGGAACTCTTTAATAACTCAGAAAATGTTTCAGAAGCCTTAATATATTACCTATAGATTACTCGACTGTATAACGTGTTTGTCATATACTTTTTAACCTTCCTTGTATTTTATTTCGGTACTTGTTCTGTTTTATGACAAAATATTTTTATAAAATATTAATATGTATATTTTCTTACATGTGTCAAATGCTAGCTAGAATGATGTTAAATCTTTCCTTTTGATAATTTAAAACTAAACATCTTGTTTATCAATGAACTTTCGTTCCACTTATTAACATGAAAAGTCATCATATAAAATAAAACTGTCAGTTAGTGCTTGTCATCTGAAAAGTGTCAGCAAATTTGTTTTTGCAGAAATAATAAAGTATTACTAATTGACAAATGTCTTCAAATCAAAAACTACATATTTACTGAAAAGACCATTAAATATACACTATGATTTGATTAGATTTTATTTTATTTTTTTCCATTATATTTTACAATATTGACTCCATTGTTGATTGCAAACATTGTATAAATCTAGTAAATAACTATAAATGTAGATCATGAGATGGAAAGGACGGGATTGAAAATCCTAGAGAAATTGGTGGTTTTTCAACTTTTTTTTCTTCTACCACAGATCGATAGAAAATATCAGTTTAAACGAATTAATTTTGATTGAATTATATCAATGGTAATAGAGAACATTCGTCAAATAGGGACTACATATTATAAATTACATCAAAGTTTGCTGTGAAGCCATGAATCAGAAGGAGCCGAGATGATGTTTCTACACGAATATGATCCACAGGTAATGTTCATGTTATAGTGACGAAGACAAGCGTTAATCCTCGAACTTACCATCCCAGAGACGCCTACTCAAATTCTGATCCGTCCGGTATTAAATCTTAAAACGGTATGTGAATAATTTCCAGGAATTTTCCCAAACACTAATGAACGAGAGCCACAAAATTTATTGTGCAGACAGTCCGAGAGTAGCAGCGCTACACAACAATATATCATCTCTCCACTACGATTAAAAAAGTGGCTTGGCTTGAGGTATAAAACGATATCATCAAGATTTCTCTAGAAAAATGATTGGACCGAATGAGAAAGGACGAGATTAAAAATCCTAGAGAAACTCAACTTTTTTTCTTTTATCGCAGATCGATAGAAAACTCAATTTTATGCAGATCTACATATTTTTTAAACTATACATAAAAGTTTTTCATGCAAAAAAATATCAACCTTTTTATGCTGAATTTGCAACTAATGTTTTATTTTCGGTGGAAGAAGCGTACAAGGATTTTTTTTCTACACAGTCTGCTAGAGCTCGTCAAGTTGATCAAGAATATATCTAAGAGTGTTGTTAGAAAGCAAAATAAGTGACTTTTTAACTCAACTTTTATTCAATACAAATATCGTATTCGAAATTGGTGTCAAAAACCAAGTCGAATCATATATGTTTCTATGATTTCGAATATGATGTTTTTTTGTATTGGATAAAAGTTGAGTTCTGATGAGGAAAATTGAAAATTACGAGTAGAATTCCAACTCTTTCGAGAAATTTCCCTATGAGCACAAACTTTAAATCAATCATCTATCTGTAGTCTTGTAGAACTTTTTACGGGCTATCGATTACACTATAAACAGTGTGTGACAAGTTTTATTTGAGGCGAAAAAAAGTATTGTAGATCGAGAACGATCTACAATTGCATTACACATAATTGCTTAAGAATATAAACGGATGAGGTACTTGACGAGAGGATAAACGCATATTAACTTGAATTTTACAGGAGATATGCAATATAAATACCAAAAGATTGCTAATTAGATATACAGTGATACTCAGAATTGTGCACACGACTCCTACTTCATATATTTAAAATAAGCAGTATTCTTAGTAGCAACCAATTTACATGATATTTCCCGAAGATTGTCTAAATATTCAAACTTTATATAAATCCCATGGTGAGTAACTTTTAGATACTTCAACGTTAGACATTATCACTGCATATATGCCCATAATATTTGTGAAAAGATTTTTATCGGCCCTGAAAATATTAATTTAAACGAATTAATTTTGATTGAATTATATCAATGGTAATAGAGAACATTCGTCAAATAGGGACTACATATTATAAATTACATCAAAGTTTGCTGTGAAGCCATGAATCAGAAGGAGCCGAGATGATGTTTCTAAAATGCTCGTAGGTCAAACTCAGAGTGAAATTTCTTTTTGACTTTATTATACATATTCTGAATCGCCAGGTAGAGCTGATCACGAATATCACCTTTTTAGTTCGAAAAAATGAAATCTTGATGGAAAAAAAATGCGAAATACTGAGACGAGGTCGAAAAAGCTAAAAACTGTTCTTTTTCAGAAAATGGTTCACAATTTTTTCCCTTTACGTTTTTACTTATTCTCATTAATATTTTCAAATTCTACGTTGAAAACTGATTCTAGAGAGGTCTCTTTCAATGACGTTTGGTCAAAACTGAAATTTTGGCTGAGCTC